GTATTATTGTTAATGTAGCCTCGAACTACAATTGATTTTTGAAATTCTTGCGCAGTAACCTATCGATCGTTGGTTGGTAGAAACTTAAAAGGGATTACAGTTTTTGGTACAACGTAGATTTTTAAAAGTTTGGAATATTCACTTGATCTTAATAAAAGTGAAAAATGATCCTATGAAATACCTAAAATTTTCTTTTCGGAGAAAAATTAAGCATGAATACACCACGTTTTAAATTCAAAATGGTTTCTCTTTGAGACTTGGAACTTTAATAAAAAATACCTAAGCTACATTAGCTTCAATCTTCGTCCATTCTCCTCGCAAAATCCCGATGTCCTGCAAAAATTATCGCTACAAAATCTCGGCCGGGATGGTCGTTTTAAATTTAAACCGTTTTGCATCGCCTCAGACGGTATCGCCGGCCGTCTCAAAGGATTCTGATGAATAATTTATACAGTTTACTAGCACTCTATTATTATCTTGAACATAGAAATTTGGTACTATTTTCTGTGCTAGTCGAGCTACATAAATATTTTAAGGGCTAGTTTTGAAAGGCAAATGGGATTTTGTGGCTGTTGGTTGAGCTAGAACCAAGGCCGCTAGGTTATTTGATATTCAGGTTGGAAAAAAATGTTTCAATCAACGGCAACCACTGGTTATAAAAGATTTGACATTGTTTGTTAGTTTGTTGATTGACTGATTTCACTTAACGCGTGCTGAAAAACGTTGTAACTGACTTAAGGATTCCATGTCTTGTTATTCAATTCAATTCAATATTTTATTGCACTCCATAAGTTTCATGAAGGTGTTACATCAGATATTTTGGTACATTATGGACCCCGTAGGGCACGGCGACGTAGAAGAGAGGAGGAAGCTTGTTTTGTAACTATTATTATGATTTTATTATTTGCTATAAATTGATTAGATTACATTATTGCACTAACTGTTTTATTTTCATATTAGACGAAATGTATTAGAGTTAACATTTGTATTGTTTATTTCATTAAGGTGGTACTTGTACTTGGAGTATTATTATACATGTGTAAACGAGCTGTAAAGTTTTCTCATTTTAAGTAACGCTTAACGGCTTAAATATAATATAGTTCTGTCAATACAAATTCTTTGTAGAATTACTGTGATGACACGATATTTAAGTAACTGAATATGAACTGAGATTTTCTTAGTTCGTGGTTTGCAATTCAGACCCGTGTTTGGTGACAATCTGATACATAATAAACGTAATTCATAATCTAAATATGAAAAAGGGAATCTAATATATTATTATACTGAATGGAAAATCATTACCATTCACGGTTTCTAATCCAAAAACGCTTGCGGACATCGTCTCGTTAAAAATTTAAAAATACGTCGTGCATAAAGGAATGCGATAACTGCTTTTTTTCTGTCGTTATTAATCGGTAGCCGTTTCGATTCCCGGCTCAATTAAGCGGCAATGCCGATAACCTCGGGCGCCTATTGGACATAACGCTCTAACATGTGGGTACTGGGCAGGATGTGTACTTTTATGAGCAACGTTTTATGGATATTGAAGCCAAATTCATGGCTGTTTGTTCTTTGCTAAAAATGATAAGGTTACTTTTAGTTCTCGGGAGTTTTATGGAAAATTGCATGTTTGAGTTGCTTGGTGTTTTTCGGATACTCGAAAATTTTTCAGTATGACTAGTGCGTACTAGTTATACTGAAATATTTTCGAATATGTCCAGTATATAGCAATATACTCACCTCCTATTATTACTGACTGCTTCGTTGGCCGAGAGGTCGCAAGTGCGACACCGGACATGGGGTCTCGGGTTCCATTCCCGGGTCGGGCAAAGTATTACTGGGTTATTAAAAAAATCTCAGTATGAAAATGTGGCAATAATCTCACCCCCTATTACATAGGACTCATAACATAAATAGTGATACTTATCACTATTTATGTTATGAGTGTGTGGGTGGGTGTTACATTGTACAGTGGCATAAGGTACACCTCTGCCTACCCCTTCGCGGATTTAAGACGTGATGTTATGTGTGTATATTATGTCACCTCCTATTATGAAAATATTCACTTAGTATTCGGTACTTATAACTAAACATAGCTACAATTTATTTAAATTTAGACTATGATAAACTGCTCATGCACAACTGCCGTGAAGTTTTTCAAGTTCTTATCTTTTGTAGTTATCCGCCGAAAGTGGAATTAAGGTGGGTTTGTAAAAACAGTATGTTACTATTCTAGAATAGTAATCGCTATTATTATAATAAGTATTGTGGTAACAGCAATATTTGCCATCACCTTAACTCTTCGTAAATGGACTACATATTTAACATATAGGTTAGTAGCGATCTCTCTTGAACCTGAATCTTTTAACCTATAATCTCCAAGTCGCCTGCTAAGCTGGAGGTAATGGAATAATTTCTCGTGTAAAGAAGGTCTATAAGCTAACAGTAGCCTGTCACCAGTTAATTTATGCTTAGTAAAATCGAATAAAATAGCACTTTTGCATGATCTCGTTGGTCGAGTGGTCGTAAGTGAGACTACCGGGCAAAGGGTCTCGGGTTCGATTCCTGGATCGGGCAAAGTATTACTGGGTTTAAAAAAAAAAACTCAATAGAAGCACGGAGTCTGGAAATGTGCCCGGTATAAGACAATAGGCTCACCCCCTACTACATGGGACTCATAACATAAATAGTGAAAAGTGGGTGTAACTTCTGTGTGCACCTCTGCCTACCCCTTCGGGGATAAAAGGCGTGATGTTATGTTATGTTTTTGTATGATCTGCGGATCGAGTCCTTTGTGTTCCGCAATTGTATAGAAGCTACTAAACTGACGAGGTAGTTACGGTATAGCATAGGTTTAGCCTTGAACAAATTCGGTAGCACCAGCATATGTATGTGTTTGTCCAATTTATTTGTAAACCAGTTAGCCGGTCTATTTACATACGTAAGTGTTAGTTACAAAAGATATACCTAATTGTTTACCATTCGCAAAATTGAGTTTGTAATGGGCGCTAACATGGTGCTTTACCTTTTAAAATACTTCTGTTTATTCTCTCTTTGCGATTTTGTATGCGATTCAATATTTCAGCTTACCCGCTCTGATATTTGAATATGTTTTTTGTTGTCTTCCTTTATTTCTTTGACTAAATCTACATAGGTTTATGAAGTTATGTTACTATTGCAAAATTGCCATTACCAGGCCTTGGAAGCTAGAAATTGAAGCCAGGGTATGATAATGCTATGTACCATCACAAATAGGGCGGATGCCTAATATGGAGCTGCGAAAGGCCTAACAGGTTTCTAGGGCTCCGGCACGAAGAGCAAGATAGCAACAGGATGGTTTTTAGTCACTAAGAGTCTGACACTCCCTCTTGCCTAACCCAGGGTGGGACAAGTTATTGGATGATTTTGCCCCCTCAAAAAAGAGTATGATAATAATAATAGACTTGAAATTTTACAAGACAAAGAGCGCATTAGCTTTTATTGCCTCTATAAATAGGTCCATAGGTCAGTGAGGTCAGATGTGCTAGACACTTGTGACTACAGTCAAACCGACAATCAGATACATTCGTGATTTAGTTGGAAATGCAAATAGTACCAGTAAAAGGACTAATTGGTCTGTTGTTGGTTGTCAAACAAAACCTTAGCAGTGTTTCCCGACTTTATTTGCGTCGAAAAATGGTTTATATTTTAAATTAGATACAGATATATGAGTAGTAGTTATCATATACCTACGTAAATACACATAATATGATCGAGGTGGAACAAAAAGTAAAAAAATGTGATCTCTGAAGATTTTTTTAGGTTTTTCAATAATCGCGTAAATATAAGAAAGAGTGTCTGTATGTGTAAACACAGCTCATAATGAACTATAATTATATTATGACTATAACTATAACTATCTATAGTTTGGAATATTTTAAAACTGTATTGAGACTAAACATGTTTTTGTCAATTTTGTTTTGTATTTTATTATTGCATGCCTCAACGGCGGGACATAGCTGAACTTATTTTAATTTATTACGACTTGTATTTATGATGCATACCCATAGTCCACAATAAAGACGATTTGATTTGATTTGAATGCATGTTCATCTTGATTAGTTCAGTTGTTTTGGAGTTGTTGGGAAATGAATATTCACACCTGTATACTGACATTTCTTCTATGAAGAAATAGTGGTGGTATGATATTACAGTATAGTATAAATCTAAGATAATTCCGGATTAGGACGACACAGTCAGTTAAACACAATTGTTTCTCTGTAAGAAACGACATTTAATGTTATTATTAACAATGCCAGTTCCTAATCACAATTATAATACTTAATTAATGAAATTAATAATAAAGTTATTGTTCCTTTCAATAAATACGTGAGCGGTGTATATTTTATTTTAAATACCGATGACAGATGACATATAAACGTCATCTGTTAGATCACGTTCAAATAAAGAAATTTATATTATTTCTTTACATAAATATATAAATTTTGATATCATGGTTCTTAATTATTTTCAAGAACATGTCATGTTTATTAAGCGATGTGCCACTTTTTATACATTCAAATGTTTTTCTTTACATTAAATAAAAACCAAATTCGTCATCTACCTCTGCACTGTGTGAATAACAAAATGGTATAGTTACTTGGATATGAAAAAAATCGTACAAAAACGAAATGTACATAATTAAACCCAGACAAAAAGAAGATTTTTTTTGTACACACTCTGAATTGAATTGAAGTCTAACTTATATATTTTTATAGTGTACAATTAAATGTCTAGATAGATAAATTACTGCCTCGATGGCCGAGTGGTCGCAAGTGCGACTGCAGGACAAGGGGTCTCGGGTTCGATTCCCGGGTAGGGCAAAGTATTACTGAGTTTAAAAAAAAATCTCAGTAGTAGCACGGAGTCTGGAATTATGCCCGATAAATGGCAGTAGCCTCACCCCCTATTACATGGGACTAATAACATAAATAATGAAAAGTGGGTGTTACATTATACAGTGGCGTTATTTGCCGTAATGTGCACCAATGCCTACCCCTTTGGGGGTAAAAGGCGTGATGTTATGTGGTGTTATGATAGATAAAGTATTATAAAGAAAAGTAAATAAACATGTCACTTTATTAATTTATATTAGTTGTTAAAAGATAACATAGCATTATGTGCAATTATGAAGTATGTAACACTTATGACAAAATATTTGCTTGCATTTAATATATTAATGTTCTTTACACTAATTAGAGTTAGTCTTTTAACAATTCTTATGAAGTAAAAACCTATAGTAATACTTAAAATTAAAATTTGTTTTCGTCTGTACCAGCCACCAGCATTTCAAGCTAACCCAAAACATTATTACACTGTCAACTCTACAATTATAGAAATAGATTTCAAAATTGGTTAATACACAATACCAGTTTGGAGTAGCTAATTCTGCTGGCACCATTGTGATGATGTTAAATCATTATTGGTTTAGCGTACTAAATTTAGGCAGGTGCTGGTGCAGCACAGATTCCCAGAAGTCCAGCTCTTCTTTGTCTGGTGAATTACCAGGGACCAGCTTGTTGCCAATGTCCATATAATCCTGAGCTGCTAAGGTGTAAGGGAGCCACTTCGCTCCTAGGCTGTCATCTGGAGTAGGATTTCTATGAACAAAAACATAGTGTTAGAATCATTCTTCATATATTGTGTGTGTTATGACTGAAAACTTATGTCTAAATTTTTATTATATACTGTCGTCTTTTGGTAGCAGGGTGTGCTCATTTAGAAAGAGATTAGACGTAAACTATAGACTGTAACATTAGAACATTTTTACACATTGTGTCAATAAATACGTTTTAAAATACGGCTACCAACTTAACATTTGACTGAATAATTTTCTATGCCACAATCTAATTCAGTTTATATTCCAATGCCATTAAATATATTTTTTTATCTAAGAGTATACTGGACAGTTCACTGAAAAGATAAAAAAGATGTTTCACTCACCCGTATTTGGCGAAGTTTGTCCAAAGTTTAGTGACCCTGTCAATCAGTTTGAATGTGTCCGATGTTTTACTAACTTTTTGTGTAAAAAGTTTCACTGGGAAGAGATATGCCAAATCATCCGCATGACTTACTACTGACCGATCCTCCGTAAGATGGCCGACGCAAAAAGCATTGGCGAGGGCATTCCTCTCTGAGAAACAATTGAATTTGTAAACGTATACTTTATTCTTCCTTGAATACAACTTCGCAGCGAACATCACGCCATAAACGAACATATCAACGCTCATGTAATTCAATAAATTATCAATATTATCCTCTGATACTTTCTCATTTTTGAAATAAAACTTTTGTAACTTTCGTGCAGCTTCTAACTGCTCGGTTATCGTCCCGTAGTTTTGTAATAGTTTCGGAGCGAAGAATTCCCGGTATCTCTGAGCTTTTGCAAGCATATCCTCCAGCGGTCCACCGATGGACACCGCTATTGTATACTCGTCCTTTGTGTACCCTGTCATAATGTCTACACCTTCTTGTAAATTGTTTTTAATTGCGTCCACGATATCGCCATAAAAGAATCTTTCTTGTCCGAAATCTTTCTCATTTGCAATACTAAAATGAATTTCGTAAGACTTCTGTGACGTTGTTACTTGTAAGTTTAACTTGACCAGATTTTCACAAGGTTGTTTTTTGAAGAACTCATATAATTCTTTTGAATCCTCTGAATGGAAACCCAGTTGCTTAGCAAGAAGTATGGCTTTTTCTTTTGGTTCGAATGCTGTAGCCCAAAAACATGCGGTAGATCCACTCTGTGGGATCGCTCTATTGAAGAGGCCTTTGGACATTGGGGATATTAAATGATAGGAAACACTTCCACCACCAGCACTTTCACCAAATATTGTGATGTTGTCGGGGTTGCCTCCAAAGTTCGCAATGTTCTTTTTAATCCATCTAAGGGCTGCTACTTGATCCTTCATGCCAGCATTGCCGGGGGCGTCTGCAGTGTCAAGGCATAGAAAGCCGAGAGCTTCGAGCCTGTAGTTGAATGAGACTAGAACTACATTGTGTCTGATCAGAAATTCTGGGCCGTAGAGATCGTCATTGCCACTTCCCCACATGAAGCCTCCACCGTGGATCCAAACCATTACAGGAATAGGTGTTTGAGGTTTTATGTCTGGAGTATAAACATTCACGTACAAGCAGTCCTCACTCATGTTTGAGAGTCCAAGGTTGGTGGGGTTGTACTGGTAACATACTGAGCCAAACTGTTTGGCCTGTCGCACCCCTTGCCATGGTTTAATCGGCTGTGGTGCCTGTAACAATTTTATATTTCTTAGGCATCAATTTATAGTTAGTAACTTATTGCAAGGAAATATTGTTAGAATTTCAAAACTGCCTTATTCCACTTGGTCTAATTGAAATAAATGATTTGATACTTGCAAAAAAATTTTTTTTTCAATGTTAATAAAAAATAATAGCAAAAAGTTTTGATAAACTCTTTTGCTTTTTTTTCACTTTTTGTCACAAATGTATAAAAAACCACGAATATTCCAGTAACCCTACCTTAAATCGAAGATCTCCAAGTGGTGGCTGGGCGTAAGGTATGCCCCTGAACCTGTAGAACGAGCCTCCATACTCATTCTGGACCTGCTCCCCTTCCAGTACACCCTCGCTCACTCTCACTTGCACCATCTTCTATACACTTATATATAATCAGAAGTGTCCACCGTGGCAAAATAATAATGACTGAAACGATATACGACGTCGCTCCATAAATATACTTCTACAAACAAAAAAAAACTAAATTTGCTATTTCCGAATCACGTAAGATTTATGGCACCAGTTAATAAGTAGAGAAGTTCTGTTTTGTATAACTTAAGTGGCCTCGGATATCGAATTATAATAATATTTAATAAAAAAATTGAAATATGATTATGTTAGCTCAATACTTTGTTAATTTAATTTATGGGTGTCACAAGTCAATTTTTTTGCCGAGCGGCGCCCGCGCGCGTTGTCAAGCCGTTCTGGTTGTATCGCTTGAAGCGTATCACGTTGTAATTGCTGCTACTTGTAGAATTTATGTGTATATCACTCACTTATAATGACATTGAAACCAACTTATGATATATGATTATGCCTTAAACTGTGGCGATGATAGTGGGGGAGCTTCACTATCTGACATTGTTCAGGTATAATATTGTTGTCATTTTACTTGATGGCTAGTGGGTTATTACTAACAAATTATGTATTATCATTATACGGAACATATTCTCTGCTGAATAAAGGCCTCACCTGATTTACTATAATCACTACGCTGAATAGGCGGCTTAGGTATTGTAACTACATCACTGGAAATGAAGATTACTTACTTTGATACTGCTCATCTTTTTATGGTTGGTCATAGAGTCATAATCGATTTTTTTTAACCGACTCTAAAATAAAAAATGAAGCTCTTAGTTTGACCTGTATACAAACGGACAACCGCGAGGTAATCGCGCACAAACATGTATGTTTTGATGCGGTTTAACTTAGGTAAGGTATTTTTAAGGGCACAAAATCAAATTCGAATGATGAGGGAGTGTCAGACTCTTATTGACTAAAAACCACCCCGTTCATACTCCTGCCCTTCGAGCCGGTGTCCCGGCAACCCGTTAAGTCCTCCGCGGCTCCGTATCCGCATCGACCCTGTTGGGCCCCATCCTTGGTGGTCTGATGGCTCTTTGAGGCGCGCGCGGAAAGCGACGCGCTTAACGCTCAGGTCTGGTTCTGGTCGGGCGACGAGCTATCCATGCTCGTCGTCAGCAGGCCCGTGCTTACGTTGGCCGGAGAGCGTCTCGCGATCCCCGACGCCCGGAGTATTATAAGGAATATTGCCATTCAACGTGGCAACGCTGCCAGTTGTTTGAGCACCCTACCTCATGATACTATTATTTTTGTACATTTTTTTGCATTAAAAATAAATCCTTAGCTGTTATTATCACAAGATAATATGATTTTTATGGTCAAAACATTATAATTTTACAATAAACACTTCATAGACCAATATTAATTTAAATTTTTATCTTTCCAAATGAGTGAAGTTTGAAGTATTTTATATTTAAATTTGAAATTATAAAAGGTTAAATGCACATATAAAATTATAAAAAAATAAAAATAAAAAAGGTGCACATATTATTATTAACCGCTTGAATGTCAGTATATGAGACACAATGGAAAACACATTGTATCGCTCGTTGCGACCTGAAACCACGGCCTAAACAAGTCTCATTTTTTAAACTAGATGTATAGTACCGTTTGTGAATTAGAATGCTATTGACCACACAATAAGGTCTCATTTCCTTGTTTCATAACTGGAAAACTCTCAAGGTTATCTATAATAGTATTATTTTATTATATACCTCTAGTTTTCGCAAAACAAAAATAATAACATAACATCATAACATAACATCACGGCTTTTATCCCCGAAGGGGTAGGCAGAGGTGCACATTACGGTACTTAATGCCACTGTGCAATGTAACACCCACTTTTCACTATTTATGTTATGAGTTCCATGTAATGGGGGGTGAACCTAACCAACGAGGCAAAAAGATTATACATAAATATATTTTTTAACTATGTACTGCGTACTATGTAGTGAGGGTCTCCGTCCAGAGTTAGTGCCGATTCCTTGCCTATTCGTATATCCCAATAAAAATAGACACAGTACTATCCCTGAACCTTTGGGTTCAATTCAAGGATAGGAAAGAGGTTTTGACCTCTTGTGAGTAGACATTATTAGCGATTTGGTTATCATTGTGCCGATAGTCGTGTCGGCCAATGGGTTAATCCCTAAAAGCCTCGACATCCGTCTCAGGAAGCTGGCGTTAGGTGGATGGATCAAGGACCTGATACAGAAGGCACTTATGCAACGTGGCAAAATAGAAATTCGGAAAGAGCATTTGAAAATGTATAAAATTGCCAATTTTAGCCCTTATTTTTCCAACCACATAATTGAACTTTAAATGTATTTTTTGGTTGGAACTTTAATATACAAACATATTGGAGAAATCCGGTTCAAGATAGGATTACTGAAATATTTTTGTTATTATTTTTATTTTTTATAATTCCTACCAAATTACTGAAATATACTAATCTCGAATCTCTTGTACTAACGGTCAAGGTCAAAGTCAAAATCAAAGCATTCATTAATCCTGAATTAGGCACTTTTGAAACGTCAAAAATGAATCGTCTGTCCGTCTATCTGTCAGTGAAGCTAGGGGATTTTACTTTATGATAAACTGATTAATGTCTACCAATTCCGATTTCGTAATACTACTGAGAATTGTTTTTTGATATTTCAAAAATAGTTTGACATATTCTCGAAGTCGGTTAGTCAGTATTTACCTGTTTACGGAAACATGGAAACTGGCAAGCCATCAATCAGAATGTCCAACACAATGGACATTGCGATGTTTGTTTGGTTACATATAAAGTATGTACGTTTATTAGTGACAAAAAGTTCAAGTACATAAAAAAGACAATTGCAAACAAAAAACTGTATATTAGGTAGTGAATGAGAAGTTAAAGGTTCGATAATTAAGGGCTCGTACACAACTGCGATGCGATGCGAATTCGCAATGCCAAAAATTACGATGCGAATTGCTGCGATGCAATTTCGTACGACAAGGCGTCTCCCAGGGAGACCATTTCTTCGACGACTATACTCGGAATTTTAATTCAATTCCAGATTTGACGATTTCAGTGTTGCAACGTTATGACAAGTACTAAATAGTGACGTTGCGAAATTATTCGATATGGAAATGCAATATTTCTGGATCGATTCTTCTCGTTTATAATTTTACTCTCGTAAACTAAGGATATCAGGAAATTAAATATTTCTGACCGATAATTTAGTTTTGACGGTTACTTAACGATCTGAGACTTTTCTTTTACAATTGTGTGTGAAATAAATAAAAAAATGTAATCATGAAGGAACATGACAAATAAAACAGATAGATGTATTATGGTAATAAGTTATTTTATAAATTGTTTCTGTCATCGCTATCGCTATCCTGTCACTTTCTGTAACATTTATTATAAAACACACACACTGATTGTTTATCGATTTTTGTGTTCATCACTACACTATTATATGTGGTATCATTATTTCACAAAATGACAGTGGCTATTGTCAAATCTGGAATCTAATTAAAATTCTGACTATAGTTAAACCGTACTAAATGTATTTTAAATTGAAAACTAGGTCATGACAAGGGCCGTAAAAAGAATTGTGCACTTCTGTTATTCCTTGAGATACAGGAAAAAAAAACAAAGAAGATTTTCGGAAGATAAGATTTTGACGCGCGATGCGAATCAATTCGCAAGTTTTTGCGATGCGTAGAGGGAGCTAGCACATTTTTGCGCTCGCTTAGTGTTGGGTCTCGGATCGCAAGTCGAGGAAATAACTCAATAGGTGGTTTTCGGAAATTTTCAGTCTCCCAATTACATAGATCAATTATAATTTATGCACTAATTAAATGTAAGACTACGCCTACCACTAAAGGATATTAATAGGGTATCAATTACATTATTATGTTCAATATTCTGTAACATTAGTTCTACAATAGTCAAAGTCAAGTTTTAATTCATTAAAATCACTTATTTCAATTACACTTTTGAACGTCAAAACAAAATATTAAAAACTTAAAAAAATGTGAGTATATTGATTACTGACAACCATCAGGTTGTGATGGACGAGCTGATGCTCGAAGACGTCCACTGCGGAGTGCGGACTAAACGCTTCCCTAGTCTTCTATTCTAATTGACAACTCGTCATTTCCATCCAATGGTTCTCTGCGACTCTGAAAATGTTCTGCCTAAATATGCAATTTGATTCGTTCACCTATAAAATACTGTTTTTCCATTTGTCGAAAATGCATTGCTTAAGTATTTTTATATTTAGTGTCTACTGAACATACTAATTAACAAGATTTTCAAAAGCTTTGTATGAGCGGCAGCTATCTGTGACTTTGACTGAGAAAACTTTAATTCAAATTATAAACCTTTCAAGCATTAAATAAATTGAAGTATAGACGTAGAAAAAATATGTCCCGGATTAGGAATGTCTGCTAGACATCCTATGTGTTATGGAAATTGTAAAAAAACACGTAGGTATTTAATAAATGGCATGTTTTGTATGGGAATATGTAATTTGGATAGCCAATTTGTTACTATCAAAAGCGTAAACGGTTTAGACGTGTACACGATATTTTTTATGATTTCAACACCTACTCAATATGCTTAATCTTCGATTAATCTGTACCATAGTAAAATAAAATCAACGAGTTTGTCCGTACACACTAATCTCTAATACTTTGTCGCTCGTAGTTAATTTTATAAATAGGAATTGTATGTCCACATAAGACCTTTATATTAGCAGTTTGCAGTATACGCGAGTCGAACAAGCAACATATTGCGCAGTACCTTTTTACCCAACCGACAGTAACTATGCATCGAGTCATTCACAAATTATTCATTTATAAGCTACATTTAAAAAAACCGACTGTAACCTTTCTTTTTTTGAAGTTGGTGAATTAATATATTAATATCTTCACTTAAGACAAACAATTTTCTAAAAACCGCATCAAAAGCGGTTCAGCCAGTTACGAGATAATAACAACAAACATACATACATACATATTCAAACTGAGCACCTATTTTTTATAATTTGGTTCAAGAGCCAGTTCATTTCTTACACAAAACATAACACCACGGCTTTTATCCCCGAAGGGGTAGGCACATTACAGCACTCAATGCCACTGTATGTACAATGTAACACCAACTCTTCACTATTTATGTTATGAGTCCCATATAATATCATATACTTAACACAATTTCAGACTCCGTGGTACTACTGAGATTTTTTTCAAAAAACCCCATAATTATTTGCCCGACCCGGGAATCGAAATCGAGGCCCCTTACCAGTTGACGTACGAACACTCGGCCATCGAGGCAGTCGTTGTCGTCGCAGGCATATCTATTATTATTTACAAATGGGTAATCCATCGAATATAGTACTGTATAATAGACATACAATTGGCATTCTCAATAGAAGGCGTTTTGTTTCGTAGTTATAAATACCATACAACTATGAACAGAAGCTTTATATTCCCTTAGCTACTGTCTCAGCTTGCTTCTTAAAAAACAATATTCCTAACGAAAACAACAAAAAATATGCCTTATAAACAAAAAACATTAATTTGGTATTAACATGTTCTTAGTTAATAATAAACCAGATCTATAAAACTGTCATATTTTGTTTCATAATTTATTATTTTCGTTATTTATTATGTTCACGTTCATACTACCCAAACTTTTAATATTCATTGTTCCGTATATAATAATAATGATAATAATGAACTAGTGTACGCCAATAAAAATGGTATAATATAATTAGTTAACTCGTCGAGTACCGGTTTTGTAGACACAATTATAGAACAATAGGTTGCGGTCACCGGTGACCGCTTGGTGTTTGACAGTGCGGCCCTCCGCAGTTATTTGTATCTTTATATAATATACTAGTAGCCTGTCCCGGCTTCGCACGGGATAGAAAATTATTTATTTTTGGAAATTTGGATTGTTGTAGTGACATAACTACAATAAGTTTTTTGTAGACATTATGATGTTCTTCAATATTGTTGTACATTATTTTGTTCTATCGCTTATAGTTTCGGCAGCGCGTTCGACGAAAGACATTTTAAGACTCATTTTTCTACACCTTCGGTTACATTGTTCAAATTTTACCAAGTATCCCTGATATGTTTCAAAATGAAATGTAGCCTATGTCAAATTGGAAGAATGTAGCATTCTATTCGTGAAAGAATTATTTAAATCGGCCCAGTACTTTTTGAACCTATTCATTACAAATATACAAAAATAGGTACACATCTTTCCTCTTTATAATATTAAGTATAGATAAAAAATGCCTACTATGCATATTTAAATTAGGAAATACTATAAGTGTACTCTAGCAGTGTGACCTTCGTATTGGTCTGACTAATCCATGTAGTATTTTATCTAAAAAAAGCAGTTTTATTTTAAGCTTTCTTGTCGGTGCTGGTTTTATTAGGAGATTTACGAGCTTGGATCTTTTTAATCTGCATAACGTTTGGACGCCAAAAGTGCGTAGTATAGACCGGAATAAATTATAATCTTCATAATATTATTTTCGATGGTTCTATTATTAAAAAAAATCGCATACATATAATACCAAAAGTGTCGTCGAGACCCGGAGGTTTAAGACGCCCGCTTCTCATGCGTGAGGGTGCGATTTTGAAGCCTACCAATAGCAAGCACCAATGTGACTTTTTCCGAGTTCTATGTACTTTCTAAGATTATTTAGACACCACTGACAAACGGTGAAGGAAAAATATCGTGAGGAAACCTGGACTTGTAATTTCTTATTATAAGTTTGAAATCGTCATCCCGCATTGAGCAATCGTGGTGATTAATGCTCAAACCTTCACCGTGTGAGAAGAGGTTTTGCTCAGCAGTGGGCATTTATAGGCTGTTGATGATGATGATGATGATGATATAATACCAAACCAAATATATTATTAGTTAAAGAATCATTTCGTGCGGTAATGGAACTCTTATCAAAGAAAGAGAGAAAACTTTATTATTTACCACCAGGTACCATCAGCCTGCGAGTCATATTTCTTTACATCAGCACACCACTGCGCCTGATCTTCAGCCCTTCTCATCCAACCATAGCCAGCTGCACTTCAAGTCTAATTCTAGTTTCTGGTAACTATTTAAGTTGGCATATTTTAATTGTGGAGCATTGAGCATATACATCACCATACAATGGTATATCAAGTTTTATAAGAGCTTACGTGATTAACACAATTTCGACTATTAATCTTTGTTATAAGGTTCCATTTAGCTTTTGTATTCAATCCCATATTCGTCTAATTAATGGTCAGATCAGCTAGATCTGACCATTAATTAGACGAATTATTCAGGCAGGATCTGCATCGGCGCTCAGCCATACAACGAGTGTATACCACATATCCACTATTCCACTAGCCTGTTCCTATTCCTAATCACCTTAACTATAACATTCAAAATATGCGTGTTTTGTTTGTTTGATTACAGTACTTTAAAACCATAAATGAATTTTAAAAAGGATACTTATTATGTATTTAGGTTCAGCCAAGCCAAACATAATTTTTAACAAATTAAAATGAAAAACTGTAGCAATAAATAAGTATCAGAAAAAGAATTTGTACAGAATATTTATTTATGCTCACAAGCAAGACAAAGCCATGACAAAAGAATAAATATAACAAGAACAAATACGTAGCTCACTAATTTCTATATCGCAGAACAGTAATAACCATAATAAGAGGTAAAGATACTAAAACATCGAGAAAGATCTTATTTATACAGTTAGGAACATAATTCAGGATCTCGTTTCAATTGCTATACAAACGGATCCTCAACAAATATTGAAGCACTGTTTGCACGGCAATATAGACCTACGGGCTTTGTGATAAGTGTTGCCAATTACTAGACCCTTGGAGAAGGGTCCGTGGTTAAACTTGGATCTACAGAACTCAATCTTCTAGGATTGACTTTCTGCACCCGTCATATTCGAAGCTATTTGCTGTGAGATAAAATGAGAAAAAAAATGAAGTGAAGTGCTTGTGACAAATTTTTAGTAAACTATAATTTTCAATAACCGTACTCTACTTGAAGCTATGACCAACAAATAGCAATAAGATCGACTTAAGATTTAACATGGCGAATCGTATCCATAATTCAGTCGACCACTTTAGGAAGTAAAATGTTATTTTGTGCCGTAACAGAATTAGTACGAAGAAGGGGAATTATTTTCCAAATTTAAACCAAAATTATAACACTTATTAGTACGATTTTTATGACATTTACATCGTTTTTATAGGAGGATAACCAAATTTTCTCAATATTCCACTCCAGCATAGTCAAACACTTTCTTCCAGAAAGCCAAAGCTTCTACTTCATCTTCACCTGGTGTCTTGACCTCCAGGCTGTCTCCAATGTCCACGTATTGCTCAGTCTTGTTGTTGTATTCAGGCCAGGTTACACCCAAACTGGAGTCGGGAGTTGGATTTCTGGAAACAAAGGGAAAGGTATGTCATAAAAACAAACTAGGCATAAAAGCAAAAGGTACTAATACAGTGTGAATTTGAGCGTAGGTAGGAATTATTATATTTGAAAGGCGTATGTAAATAAATGACTAAAATAAAAAGAATATTATCAGTGTTACTGAGCCGGGAGATTATTTGATAAACCTAACACATTATCTTATCACTCACCCGTGTTTGGCGAAGTTGGTAAATACAGAGCACACCAAATTAACCAGTTCATGTTCTTTCGTATTCTTTTCTAGCTTAATATTATGTGCCTTTGCATGGAACAGGTACATCAGGTCATCCAAGTGAGAAGCTCCTCGAATCCCATACTTCAATCCAATAGCCCCATAAACATTTCTACCAGAAAAACTGGAGAACCGGTACACATATCTTCGACCAGCTCCAACCTTAGGCAGACGTGACAAAAATCTATTAACATCATAAGTAAAACATGCGTGAGTAGCGTATGTCACAAATTCCTTCATAATATCGAATGAGAGAGGCTTTCCCTTGAAATAAAAATCTTGGATCATCTCCGCTACTTTTAAAATCTTTTCTGGAGAACTTTTCATAAGGATTTTTCTTGGTACCAATACTTCTGGGAATCGGTTGTAATGCTTCAAGAGTTTTTCTTCGTACATTGGTATTCCTAAGAGGACTTCTTGGCTCGTGAAACCAATCAGTATGTCAACATCATTAATCCTCTTATGTCTCAATGCTTCGATAGGATCTTCAGTTAAGAAGTTTTCACCATCACCAAAATCTTTTTCCACAACTGGAGTGAAGTGGTATAGCTTTAGTATATTATTGCTGTATTCTTCAAAGGATAGTACCACTGGATTTGTATCTATCAGTTTGTCTGATGGCACAGTTTGTAAGAATTCTAGAAGCTTATCAGGATCGTCAGTCTCAAAACCTAAATCTTTTCCGAGTAGGAAAGCACGTTTTTGTGGGAAGAAAGCTTGAGACCAATCGCAGAAAGGTACACCACTCATTGGAGCAGCTTTCTTAAAAAGACCTTTAGACATAGGTGAGATTATGTGGAAGCAAGTAGACGCACCGCCAGCACTCTCTCCAAAAATTGTAACGTTATTCGGGTCTCCACCGAAATTTTCGATGTTCTTTTGCACCCATCGGAAAGCAGCAACTTGGTCCTTTAAACCAGCATTTCCGGGAACTTCCTTGGTATCTAAGCACAAGAAGCCGAGTACCTCGAGCCTGTAGTTGAAGGTTACCAGGACAACGCCGTGTGGGACTAGGAAGTCTGGTCCGTAGAAATCGTCGTTGCCAGAACCGCTTTTATAACCACCACCGTGGATGAATATCATGACTGGTAGTGGGGTAGCTGGTTTTATGTCAGGACTGTATACATTCAAGTACAAACAGTCTTCGCTTCCTAACTGGACAGTGTTTGTGAAGATACACTTCTGCGGACATTTTGGACCAAATTCTGTCGCTTTTCTGACGCCTTCCCAGGGTAGAGGCGGTTGAGGTGCCTGTAAAAATGTAATGAAACCATAAATATTTGGTACTTTAAAGTTTAAAATAACCCAGTCGTTCCGCTAACCTTGCAGTCAAGTAAGTTATTATTTACATTCATATATGTTTGTCGATGACTCTATAAGCAAGATGATGTTTATAAATATGATAAAATAAATCATACGAAGTTAAAATAGAACCCAATTAACTTTTTGTACCAAAACTACATTCTAGTAAATAACTGATTTATTAGTAACAACTCGGATTAAAATAAATGTGTAACATAATGATAATTTATTAGGAAACTAAACCTAAAAAGGATTTATTGATGTAAACGTTTTTGTTTATAGGAATTTTTGAAATATCATATATGGGACTAAATTATATTAATATCATACCATTAATTTCAAATTTTGAGTAACAACTCGTATTTTGTCCCATAACTTAAACGGTTTTATCGGTTCACCTAGCAAGAGCCTGCCATTGTTACGTCTTCCATATTTAATTACATAATTAGAGGTATTATACAACATATTAACTATACGAGTGTTATACTGACCTTGAACCTCAAATTCCCCAGTGGTGGCTGTGCATAGGGGATGCCTTTGAAGCTGTAGTACTTCCCATCACCAGTAACTGTCTCCACCACTTCTCCTTCCAGACGTCCTTGTTCCACTTTGACTTCCACCATTGCTATGAAAGACAAAATAACTAGTTAATATATAACGTTAGAGATAATAAATAACTTTAAGTAGGTGCGTCTATGGTTTCAAACAACCGCAACGGTTACTAGGGCTCCAGCTCGAAGCAGCAGTTAGAACATATTTTGATTATCAGTAAGAGTCTGACGGTCCAACTCAAAAAATGATGACTAGATTTTCAGCAGTTTTCTCACAGGGACCTTAGGTGTTTGGTGTTTAAGTCTCCCAAGAATGAATTTTTAAATTGGTCCACATAAAATTATATGTAGTAGTTTTTTAAGTTAATACCGGATTCACAGATTTTGTATAAATAGTACAGATGTATTGATACTGAATGTCCTTGGACTAATTATCTTATAAAATACTACTGCAACGAAGTGTTTGTTGGCCTTTTTTTGTCATCTTTACTAATGATTTTATTACTCAGTATGTTTGGCTAGTAAATAAGACTTAAGACGATCACGCGATTCTTAGTGTAACGCAAGTATCATGTATCATTTGGTCTAATTGCTCTTAAGCGTATGGTCAAAGGTTTAAATACAATGAGCTTCTCAATTTAGATTCAAATTTAATACGTTAATAAAATTATTTTTATAGACAATAAATAACTTTAATAATAACTATGGTAAGATATACTCAATTAACTAAAAAAAATCGTTTACTCACCCAAATATACTGAGAAAAACTCTACTAGTTTCGAGTCACAAAGAGGGTCTTCCTCATGAGTAGCGTGTGCGATCGCGGCGACGTGGCATACTGAGAGCCTCTGCTCTCGGCCAGTCAGCTCTCTAGCTGAGATCTAGTAGAATTTCTCTCAGTATATTTCCGTGAGTAACTCGTGATGTTTAGTCAAATAATTTTAATAATAGAATGGACTATTATAGAGCTCAGTGTTAAATATTGTAAACAGTTGATTAGATTTACATAAATTAAATTTAAATAGCAAATACTATTGTCTGACATTTAAGAGTGTATTCGTAGGTTCTTATCATCGCATTATTAGTATGTTCGATTACAAAATTCTTACGTCTCACATACCTATGTGTTCGATTACTTATTATTAACTAGCTGTTAACATGGGGTCTGAGGCCTTAGTACCAATTTGTTTTATTGAAGTAATCAAAACGAGATCGGGTTCGGTGCTCTGATTGGCTGCCTCTAATAAATCCAGCAATGACCACCTCTGGCCGCATGTTTGAAACAATGATGCATAGCTTTTTCATTTCAATAGTTGATTCTATAGTCCCATTAATTTCTGACATTGTACGAGTATTGTCGTTACATCGTTCTCACATTTATAGTTGCCAACGTCCTTCAAATTAACTCGTCGAGTACCGGTTTTGTAGACACAATTATAGAACAATAGGTTGCGGTCACCGGTGACCGCTTGGTGTTTGACAGTTTAAGGCATAAAATCTATTACATTATTTATAACTATATAAATATTTACAACTCAAAATTAACTACAACTGGACTATGAAACAAAACGAAAGTGAAAAAGGAAAGGTTCTGACATATATACAACAGGTAAAGGATCAGATAATCAAAATCAGGTATCAATGAGACTGCATAAAAAACCTGTTTTAAAAAGTAACGAGTGAGTTTCTTGCTTGTTCTTCTGCATTCGGAATTACACTTTGAAACGAGCTCGACAGACTGACAGACGGAAAACTCTATGTTTGACTTTTCAAAAGTGTATAATTAAGGATTAATTGGAATATAAATACTTTGACTTTGGTAATACAATAATACAACAAAAATAAAACAGTAGTAGCACGGAGTCTGGAAATGTGCCCGGCAATAGGCAATAGGCTCACCCCCTATTACATGGGACTCGTAACATAAATAGTGAAAAGTGAGTGTTACATTGTACAGTGGCATTAAGTGCCGTAATGTGCACCTCTGCCTACCTCTTCGGGGATAAAAAGGCGTGATGTTATGTTATGTTACTATGTTAATAGAATTAAATCGCACTACTTGATAACCTACAGTACGCATAAAATTTAGTAAACAAAATCGCTCCGTTGTGATGCGAAAGATAAAAAAAAAATATTTTCATTTTACAAAAATACGATACCGAGGTAAGTGTAGCTATTAGTGTGGTTATAATTCAAGACATAGTGATATATAGATAACGCGATACATAGAAAAACTATGCTATTTTTAAATAACTGGGTTTGCGGCTGAAGAATTTTGTGATGTGTGCACTGGGTAAACTGAATATTAAATTAGTATTGAATATTATTACATAACAATCAATAATAGGACCAGTCATTCAAGTAGCATGACTTGAGATTTATCAACAATTTAACAGAGTAAAGTGAGGTCATGGACTCTCATTTTGGGTTCTTATTGCTTAATCTTATACTTATCATTGTACATTGAATATAATAATATGTATTTTTAACAGAATACTTGAGACGTGATTTACAATCGATACCGAAGCCAAAAATATAGTTTTTAGAATTTTTGTCTGTTTGTCTGTATGTATATCCGGGCTAAAGTCAAAAAGTACTGCATAGACTTACTTCGAAGCGTTTGTTTGTTTGAATGCGCTAGTCTCAGAAAGTACTGGCCCAAATTGAAAAATTGTTTTCGTGTTGGATAGTCCACTTATCAGGGAAGGCTATATAGGCTATAAAACATCCGATAATAGGATCCGAGCAGAGTGATTGAAACCGCGTGGATGTACCTGGTATGTTATATTATGTGACATTTGCTTATCTGAAGGATCTACATAAGTATAACATGCTTATTCTTTTCCCTAGAAATTACACTTCATACATTTTTGTATGAGCACTTAGCTTGACTCTTGACTGACTGGAAAAAAAATCTGATAAAAAATATCTGATGGTACTTACCGAAAACTCAGTTGATAAGATTGGTAGAAAATATAACAGTTATGTGTGATAAATATTACAATCAAAGGATAAACAATTAAAAAACCTCAAATAACAGATTTAAATATAATATAAACTATATATGTATATATAATTCAGTAATCTCTTGAATAATTAAGCCATTTTATTCAAACAACGAATTATGTCAGTCAGTTGGAATGTATTGATGCACAATGATTCCAGCATTCGATAAAACTGACTCGATCACATTTATAAATAGAGTAATAAGATTCCATTATAAGGTATACTATGACCTTCAAGAGATAATTAAATAAAACAAGTTTTGTCAAATGTTATAAAACCTTTAGTTTTGTTTGACTCTTAAACTGTCAAACACCAAGCGGTCACCGGTGACCGCAACCTATTGTTCTATAATTGTGTCTATAGTGACGGTACTCGACGAGTTAAATTGATGTTTTATTTTAGAAATTATCTCTAATAATGTTTCGCGGAGAGTATGAGCCTCTAGCATAGCTTGAAACTAGTCGAGTTCCTCGTTAAACAGTTTTATAACACGATGGTGGCAAAAAGGCACACGGCCCACCTTATGGTAGTTACGTGAGTAAGCCGAAAATATATTTAAAAAATATCTAAAAATAAATTTATAATTTGTGTTAATTTAATTATAATCTGCAATTTAATGTATCGGTTTTGACATAATAATATTTATAAAATAAAGGTCAATTATTATAATAATTGTCTAATAAATAAATAATTATAAAATGTGTTGAATGTCATAACACTTACATTATACGAAAAACAATTATAAACATACAATCGATTAATTTTCGTATAATGTTGTCAATCCAGATTATAACACTTTTTCATATAATCCTTATTCGTATAATAATTAAATTTAAATAAAAATGTGCTTACCGTGTCTTTATTGTTTCAAATTTCGAAGAATATTATAAAATAAATGCTACACAAAACAACAATCATACACTCATCTGGTACACTTTGAAACTGACAAGCGAGATCGTTGATATAATTATATATAGACCGTTGTTTACCATGACACAACACAAGTACACATAATATTCTCAATGACTATGTACAAGGTGGATATGTATACACTATATTGTGTACTATCACGCTTACATATAATTCAAGATATAATTTTATCAATACGTTTATTTTTATATATATTGCATTTTGTAATCTTAGAACATGGTTTGTTTTGATCGATGTTAATCTGATGTTTGTGTTTTTTATATATAAAACTAGCTATTGCTTGCGTGCGGCTTCGCTCGTGTTTCCGTGGGATAGAAAGTAGCCTATGTATTATTCTGGACTATATTTAGCATCGTTCCAATTATAGTATAGGTATATAATAATAATAATTAATTTAGTATGTCTCACGAAAGTTATAATATTAATACTCCTTAAACTGTCAAACACCAAGCGGTCCCCGGTGACCGCAACCTATTGTTCTTTAATTGTGTCTATAAATACGGTGCTCGACGAGTTAAACAGTTCAAATTTTACAACGTTATATTGATATATATCTTCACTCAAGTATTATTCTCAAAAAGAAGGAACACATGAGTTAATTTCATCATCATCAATAAATACCCACTGCTGAGCAGAGCTTCTTCTCACACGGAGAAGGTTTGAGCATTAACCCGTCGAGTACCGTCATTATAGACACAATTATAGAACAATAGGTTGCGGTCACCGGTGACCGCTTGGTGTTTGACAGTTCAATCGCCACGCTTGCACAATGCGGGTTGGCGATTTCAAACTTATAATTAGAAATTATAAGCCCAGGTTTCCTCACGATGTTTTCCTTCGCCGTTTGTCAGTGGTGTCTAGATAATTTTAGAAAGTACATATAATTCGGAAAAAGTCACATTGGTACTTACCGTTGGTAGGTTTCGAATCCGCACCCTCAAACATGAGAAGCAGGCATCTTAAACATCCGGGCCATCACGACACCAATTATTTTTAATTATCTGAAATATGTAAGTGTATCTATTTTATTTGCTCTATTAAATAATTGCTTGCTTCTTGCTCACACCATTAACTCTTCTCTGCATCACCCAAAGGTCAGACTGGGAGAGAATGCCTGCGGCATTAAGTCCACCTTATGTACATTTTGTGCATGAAGCTTTAAATAAATAAATAATTTCATATATTAGTTAAAATCTTCCGTATTGTTAAAAATAGGTAAATGTGTGGTGTGTGTGTAATATTACATAATACCATACCTGGTATTTGCTGACGAGATAAGCAGTCATTGGACAACATGACATTACAATTACGCTGCAGTTTCATTGTCATAGATAAGATAATAATACACTATGCCCGAGTTTCCATTCAACCGACCATATTTAATCTTAATCCTGAAGATCATAGCACACTTAACCGGCACAGTTCTAACCCAGCAATTAACATGTCATTTAAATTTTAACATTAGGCCTTCTATCTTCTGTCATATGATTATAATTCTTACTTAACATCATAATATCACGCCCTTTATCCCCGAAGGGGTAGGCAGAGATGCACATTATGCCAATGTAACACCAACTTTTCACTATTTATGAGTCCCATGTAATAGCGGGTGAGCCTATTGCCATATACCAGGCACAATTCCTAACTCCGTGCTACTGAGAATTTTAACAAAAACCTAGTAATACTTTGGCCGATCCGGGAATCGAAATCTTGCCCGGCACTTGTGACCACTCGGCGATGAGGCAGTCTAATAATTTTTACATAATTATTATTGAAATATAGCGTTACTTTCTTATATAGCGTCAGTTAGATGAACGCGATAGTCTCAATAATACCCTTCCTACAGTTAGGTAGTAACTACGGGATGGATTTTGTATCGTTTTAATCAATGGATATGTAATGTGATTTGTAAGACATGTGGTTACTATTAGCTTCTGCAAGCGGTTTCCAATTGATAATAAATAGCCTATGTGTCATTACAGATCATTACCTACCTCTCTAAGTTCCACATTTTATTCCTATCTATCCCTTCAGTGGTTTTGACGTGAAGGAGACTAACATATAAACATAAAAATTTCGCATTTATAATTTGAATTGGATAGTTTTCACTATACGGGTGAAGCCGTGAATAAGGTAATGAATATATTTATGCATCGTCCACCTCGTCGTCTTTATAAAGGCCACAGTTAGCCATTTGATGCACGTTGCTTCCAAAAAAATATATCTTTTTTTTTTATAATGCTTAAGCCGGTAAACGAGCAGACGGATCACCTGATGGTAAGCAATTGGCGCCGCCCATGGACACTCAAAACACCAATGCGTTACAAGTGCGTTACTGGCCTTTTGGGAATTAGGAATTTGAGGATTGTGGAGGACTCGGGGAATCGGGAGACTCGGGAGGGGGGTAACTTCACTCACACAACGAAACACAACGCAAGCGTTGTTTCACGTCGGTTTTCTGTAAAGCCGTGGTATCACTCCAGTCGAGCCGGCCCATTCGTGCCGAAGCATGGCCCTCCCTCACTTAAAGTAATATAAGTAATCAATGTAAGCACTTACAATATAACCGAGTTAAAATATGGTACTGAATATTAAGAAAAACAAAAAAAAAGTATTATTTCTCTTTAATATTGTATTTGTAAAGAAATGAAAAAGTAAAGAAGTCGGTCGTCAAGATAACATAAGTACATAAAAGTTGAAATATAAACCATCAGTATTGTCATACTTATTTAGAACTTAAACAGATATTTGAGTTCATCTGTACACGGATATCAACGGACAAAATCTTAATAAAATAGGCACAATAGTAGCCCTTATTAGTTATTATTTAAGAATCAAAATGGTATTCTAGCGCTTTTATAGACTCCTGCCCAGAAGTTGTAGTCATCTTCGTCAGGTCCATAGCCCACTACGGGGCCATCGTTGCTGAAGGTCAAATAGGCTTTGTTTGATTCACTGTATTGTGGCCATGTGACACCATCCACACTTGGGTCACTGTAAATAATTAATATTATTAGATAATTTAGGAAAAATATCATCAAGCTAACCCAATTTATTGAATATCAACCAATTCGGTTTATTCAAGGAAGGCAGATCAAGAGGTAGAGGTGTTGTTGGCTTTGTGTAAGATAGATCGAAATTATAAAATTTTATCTTGCGGCAGTACAATGATACTAAAATGAACCTAACTGATGAAGAAAGTATGACTATGTATCTTACCTTGACTTTGCAAAGTTGGTGAGCGAAGTAGTTAGTTGTTTCGTCACTTGGTATTCAACGCTGTCGGTATCTATGGACCAGTTCAACGATTCCGGGTAGAACAAGTAGTAACCGATGTCGAAATGACTGGCTTTCTCAATTCCATATTTAACACCCTGTTGTCCAAAGAAATTCCAGTCTGTGAAGCCATCGAATATGTAGAAGTAAGTCTTCTTTCCGAAATTGGCCCATTTGTTAGCGTATCTCTGCGCATGGTAACCTATACTGGCGCTGCTCGAATACTTCACGAACAAATTCAAGTTTTCAGTTTTAACAGGTTTTTCGCCGAAATAGAACTCCTTCACACTCTTGGCAACATTCAAATTAGTGTCTGGAGTACTCTTAATGAGTATTTCGCTTGGTGTGAACAGTTCCTTGTACCTGCTGTACAAATCTACGTAAGAAGCATTGAAAAGGTCGATGAGGAGTACTGCTTCTTGACTGTTGTACCCAATTATAAAGTCCACATCTTTGTTCACATGTCCTTTCGTCAATGCGCTGTAGTAGTCTTCAGTGAGGAAGTTGTTTCCAGTTTTCTTTTCAATCACTGGTGTAAAGTGTTCCATTTTGAATAAGACATCTGTTATCTCTTCTGAAGCCAGGACTGTGGGAGTAATAGAATAGAAGGCATTGTAATCAGCTGCCTGAAGGCAATCAAGAAGTGCTGCGCTGTCATCAACATTTTCACAGTTAAGCGCTGATCCGAAAATCTTTGCCTTTTCGACATGCTTATAAGTAAGACCAAAATCACAAGTAGCAGAGCCGCTCATTGCAACAGCTTTGTGGAATAGTCCTTTTGACATAGGGGACAACATATGAAGAGTGACCGATGCTCCACCAGCGGTGTCTCCAACAATAGTGACGCTATTCGGATTTCCTCCGAACTTTTCGATATTATTTTGCACCCATTTCAGGGCTGTGACTTGGTCCTTTAGTGCAGCATTGCCAGGTACATCTTCATTGTCTAGGGACAGGAATCCCAAAACGCCTAATCTATAATTGATTGTTACAACGATCACGTCGTTGGCAAGTAAGTAGTCTGGTCTGTACAAGTCTGTGTTTCCGGACCCGAAGATGTAGGCCCCACCGTGGATGAACACTACAACTGGGCGTGGAGCGTCAGGAGTTAGGTTACGGGTGTATACATTGAGGAACAGACAGTCTTCACTGCCGGAGGTGTACACTGCAGTTATTGGATTGAATTGTGGACAGACGCTTCCATGTTCTGTGGCATTCAACACTCCTTCCCATGAGTCTAGATATTCTGGATCCTGCAAAATATGTTTTGTTTAATTTTCGTCATGCATGAAGAACCTACTATACATTTTAATCGTAGGTCTCATTATCATCTCTTATGATAGAATTGTGACTAAATTATGGTATTTTTTTAGACAAACGTTATTTACCTTGAATCTGAGTTTGCCAACGGGAGGCTTGGCATATGGGATACCCTTGTAGCTGAGGTACTGGAAGTCCCCAACGACTGCATCCAGTACTTGGCCTCGGAGCTGACCCTGCTCTACTTCAACTAGCGTTACATCGTCATCACATGAGATGTTGTGTATAACACTGCAAACAAAAGATTTTTATTGGTATACACTATCGGTCTATCTAGCTCACGATACGTCTCCCGCTCCGCGATCTACGCTTAAGCACTTTCTTGGTCTATCGACTATTACTCTCTCGAGTGATGTGGCCTGCCTATTATCACTTCAACGCGTAGATTTAAAGAACTATGTCGATGACTCGAGTTCTTTGGGGAGTTTCCACAGATTTTTGGATTTTGTCGCACAAATAAACTTCAAGAATGGTTCTCTTCATTCCTTATGAAAATACTGCAGCAAGCCTTATAATATTTTAATAGATTGAAAAACGATATATGTACAAGTCGTAGTAGATGGCGCTTCATGTTTCATCTAAAATACTCAATTGTCGGAGTCATCAAAAAAAATCCTGCTTTGTTGTATTACATGATTGGTGTTGTTTTTGACAGTCACAAATAAATATATTTTATCTATTAAACTGTCAAACACCAAGCGGTCACCGGTGACCGCAACCTATTGTTCTATAATTGTGTCTACAAAACCGGTACTCGACGAGTTAAGGCGATAAGTTTAAAATGATGGAGGATGACAAGTAGCTTTATTTAGTTTTTACCCGACTGCCAAAGAAGGAGGGTAATGTTTTTATCAATCCGTGTTCACGCATTCAATGAAATGATCAGTGCGTGGGACTATGAAATGATAAAGTAAATATAATTAGTTATGTAATTGAAGATTTATTTGTGAACAGAACTAAGGTAACAAATAAATTAATTTTATTTTTGATAAAGACATTATGTCGGACCCAAAATGTTTTGGGATAAAGGCAAGAAGGTGATGATGTTGATCATAAAATAAAAATTACATTAAAAATAGTAAATTAAAAATAAAATATAAAGACATATAAAAATATCTTACCACAGGATAAGAACGCCAACCGTAGTTATGAGTCTCATTTTGTATCTTGAACCGGCCTGACACTGTTATCGCTTTCCAAATTTCTCCTTTTATATAAATTTTAGCTTATTGTTATATTAACTTTCTTAAAAATATTTGTGCAACTATTATAATATTTGGAAACAGAAGCACTTGTATAAACAATTTCACTTCAAGGCGAGCAAAAGTTATTTAGTGTTTCTTTTTATTATTCGATTTGAATCGAATAAAATTATTATTCGATTGAATTTTGTCACAAAAATTCCGGGTATAATTGGGATTACGTCCAAGGCGTACGAAATTAATCCTTTTGTATGAAGTTAATAAAGTTTTAGGTATTATGCGACGTAATGAGTACTGCGTATTTCCCAAAATTCCCTAAAAGCTATACCTATTTTTTTTTTTAAGGGGGGAAAATCATCGAATGACTGCTCCCGCCTGGGTGAGGCGGGAGGGAGTGTCAGACTCTTACTGACTAAAAACCACCCCGGTCCTTCTCCTGCACGTCGAGCCGGAGCCCCGGTTACCCGTTAGGTTCTCCGCGACAAAAGCTATACCTATAGCTTTTATTAATAGAAATATATTTTCTCATCGTCCACCAAACATCTCGTTAGCAGCTATTGAAAGAAAATCTTCAGATTTAATTTGGTTTATCTTAATCTCGTTTATAATTTTATTTGATCTTTAGAAATCGTATTCGATTGTTATACAAGACAAATAAAGTCGATTATCGAATAAACTCTTTAATATTTCATTTTGTTTTTTAGCGAATTTAGCACTATAGCTTTTGACCAGGGCTTTGTTTCTTCTTGTGTGAATTTTTTCTTCAGAACTCTTATACACAATGCTACTAGGTTGAAACAATTGAAACTTATGGAAAAGGTAATGTAAAACATTGACATGGATACATATGTCAAAACTTAAGTTCAGCTAATGTTAACTTAAGTTAATGTATGGACATTGATTTTCTTTCACTCGTTTAAACTAGATTTTCGATTATGGGGAACGATAAGGGAATTAAATGAGAATGTAATCAAATATTTTTCTCTTTTTTATTTAAGCCTACTTAACCCATATCGTCTGATGACTTCTCTCGCCTTGGGTGAGGCGAGAAAGTATTCTTCATCTAACTACTTAGTAGGCCAATAAACTCATTGAAGATGTTTCTTAGATAATTTGGCTCCATTCCTTTGTTAATTACATAACATCACGCCTTTTGTCCCTGAAGGGGTAGGCAGAGGTGCACATTAGGGAACTTAATGCCACTGTACAATATAACACCCACTTTTCACTGTTTATATAATGTGTCCCATGTAATATGGGGTGAGCCTGTTGCCTGGCATAATCTTTTGTTAATATAAAACTTCATATTTAAAAAAGCACTGAATAATGTTACACTCTTGGAGCCGGTTTTTCCAAAGTCAGATAACTTTATCAAATAAATAATTTTGACAGTTTGAACAATTATTCCATACAAATTAATGTCAAAAGTCAAAAAGTCAAAAATGATCTATTGATTGAAAAATCGCCCTTAGGTGGGTAAATTAGTACGGGTTGCCGGGGCTCCGGCTCGAAGTGCAGGAGTAGAAATGGGGTGGTTTTTAGTCAGTAAGTCTATGACACCCCCTCTCGCCTCACCCAGGCGGGAGAATTCATTGGATGATTTTCCCCACTCACAAAAAAGTAGGTAAATTAATATCTAGTTTTATTCGTCCGTTGTCTGTCTGTCAAGAAATGAAAACGATTATATATATTGAATTTACGTTACACGCAGTGTCGGTGCAAATAAAAAAGTCATATATTAAAATAATTTTTATATTTTTGTCGACTATGTAAATGGTTGATTATAATTATTTGAACAAATGTAAAAGTCTTTCGAAATTAACACCACATACACCCAGGTACCGTTATATAACTTATTTGTTTACATATAATAAAATAAATGTTAAGCATAGGTATTAGGTACCTTGTCGCGGAGAACCTAATGTGTTACCGGGGCTCCGGCTCGACGTTCAGGAGAAGGAACGGGGTGGTTTTTAGTCAGTAAGAGTCTGACACTCCCTCCCGCCTCACCCAGGCGGGAGAAGTCATTCGATGATTTTACCCCTTAAAAAAAGCATAGGTACCTAAATATCATTACAGATGTCCTCTATTAGTTTGGCAAAAGAAGTCAATGCGTCTGGTCGCCACAAAGCTAAAGAATCTCTATTTGGTCCATCTCTTTGTTAGCTGGTTCTTCCGAGTCCTCGATAAATCTGATATTGTAAACGTTGACAGCTTAAGCCTGGTGGATAGTTCTACCTCAGTGGAATGAGATAATTTACAAAATTGTCAGCATAATTATAAGGAATGGGAACTAGAATAGGGAAATAAGGAACAGGGAACCGAGCAGAAAACCGATGAAACAACGCTTGCGTTGTATTTCGTCGTGTGAGTGAGGTTACCGGAGGCCAAATTACTCCCCTCCCTAGTCCTCCCGAACCCGCGAATCCTCCACAATCCTCGAATTCCCAATTCCCAAAAGGCCGGTAACGCACTTGTTACGCCTTGGTGTTTCGGGTGTCCATGGGCGGCGCTGATTGCTAACCATCAGGTGATCCGTCTGCTCGTTTACCGGCTTATGCTATAAAAAAAACTGAATTTTTTTAATATCATTTCAAATAACTTTATAAGGATGTTTATAACTATAATAGACTTGTGACGTCACATTTTTACAGTCAATAATAAAACAACTGTTTATTGATTTGTCATTGAATTCGATCAGTTACATCTTATCGTATTTCACATAGGTTATCATACACACAACATCATGTCTTTTTGTCAATGTCTTTTTTTATCAGCTCTTCCTCTGAATTCAATCAACGAGGCAGTTGTCACAATAATGTTTTTCTCAGGCTAACTAACACCCCTATTATACAGAATTCATAATTGAATATTATGTTTTTCAGTTTACTCACGTAACTGTTTGTGCAGGAACTCGGCTAGATTCAATTCTATTGTAGAGTCTCATATTCCTCTATGGCCTCTAGAATGAAAATAAAAATTAATTTAATGTCCCACGAGAGTTAAAATACGAATTCATAATTAGAATATACGAGATATGTTAAAATACAGATCTGTTTACCCAATGATGGTAACTGAACTGCAGTTCTACTGATTCATATCCGTAACACTTATTTATAAATAGGATAGATGACTATTTTTTTATTTTAAACCCCGTCTGGTATATTATTTTTACACATTAGAGGTACACACGATTTTTTTATTTTCTTTCAGAAACAAGTAGTTTCGACGATATTAACATAACATAACATCACGCCTTTTATCCCCGAAGGGGTAGGCAGAGGTGCACATTATGCCACTGTACAATGTAACACCCACTTTTCACTATTTATGTTATGAGTCCCATGTAATAGGGGGTGAGCCTATTGCCATATACCGGGCACAATTCCAGACTACGTGCTACGACTGAGAATTTTTTTAAAACCCAGTAATACTTTGCCCGACCCAGGAATCGAACCCGAGACCCCTTGCCCGGCAGTCGCACTTGCGACCAGTCGGCCAACGAGGCAGTCAAATAGATAAAATGAATCAAAGTCCTAAACTTTGATTCATTTTATCAAAGTATTATTTTGTTTTACGCCTTAATAAAAAACATGTCTAATATTTTTTTATTATTAACTGACGGAATAAATATTTTTTTTTATTTTTATACCCTGTTGTCATCCCTATTGTCATCATCAGCCTACTGTTTCCGTTCATTGCTATATAACTCTTATATTCAATAGCATCACATCCAACAAATTTTACATACACATCACACCCAAACCCGAAACATTAATTTCTGAGTCCCACAAGAGTTGCTGCGTGCGGGAATCGAATCCGTTACACGTTACGGCAGTCGGGTACCTACTCAGCGTGCTGACAGTCACCTAGCTTCACTTGTTCTGTACCAGTTTTATTCAAATTGATTCAGCTGTTTTTGAGTTACGTATATTCACTTTCACATCGATTTTCAGTTGGAATAAATACTGATGAAGAGCCTGACAATAAAGCAATATTAAATAACTTATTGGTAAAATGTTGCTGATAACAAACTAACAGGCAATTGTTTTTTTTTTTGTATGCGTAGGTACTACAGAACTCGGAGCCGCGGAAGACTTAACCGGTTGCCGGGGCTCCGGCTCGAAGTGCAGGAGAAGGAACGGGGTGGTGTTTAGTCAGTAAGAGTCTAACACTTCCTCCTGCCTCACCCGAGCGGGAGAAGTCATTGGATGATTTTCTCCCGTAAAAAAAAAAACTTACTACAGAACCAAAAAATGAGAAATCATAAATACATATCAAACAACGCAAATAATATAACTTCCTTTGTTTCAACTTCAACCTCAACATATGGTTCAACAGCTCCCAATTAATCATAGCAATGCATGACTAGAAGGAATGAAAATGATAAATGTGACAATGTACTATGTAATTAAAAAACGCCTGTCACTATCGATAAAATGAAAACCTCTTTCGTGAGCCGCTCTGTCAGTCTAATCTAGGCGCACATTCTACGATCTCCGGCCACCGTAAGCGCAGGCCTGCGGACGGCGAGCATGGGTGGCTCCCCGTCCGACCAGAAACAGACCCGAGCGTACGGGGCGTCGCGTTCCGCGCGCGCCTCAAAGAGCCATCAGACCACCACAGATGGGGCCCAATAGGGCCGATGCCGATTCGGAGTCGCGGAGAACCTAACGGGTAACCGGGGCTCCGGCTCGACGTGCAGGAGAAGGAACGGGGTGGTTTTTAGTCAGTAAGAGTCTGACACTCCCTCCCGCCTCACCCAGGCGGGAGCAGTCATTCGATGACTTTCCACCCTTACAAAAAAAGGCGCACATTCTTTTTTTGCACAGATGCAGGCTTTTTGCTGTCCGTTCAAGCTATCTCCACACTTGCTAGACACGTCGGAGATCATGATTTAACAGAAATTGCAGATTCTCCCTGATATATATGCAGTTTGCAACTTTTGCGGAAACAGAAGAGGCGGTGATAAAAATATTGCA